AAAATTGGATTATGTCATTATTAGATTGGGCCATTTTGATTACTGCAAAATATTTGGCACATCAAAACCCAAGAAAATCACCAAAATTCTTCGCTCTGGTGCACAGTTATTAATAATTTGAAAAAAAGAAAAGCTGTAGATGTGAAGAAAGAAATTCCCTCCAAAATCAACGATGCAGTTAGATTCGGACAAAACTTAATTTTTTTGTATTTTTTAAAGTTACTTTACACATCAAATCTAGAATTATGTTTTTGACAATGAAAAATAAGATTTACACATAAAATTCTGAATTTTTTTTGTGATTAATATATATTAATATATATATTAAAAAATACGAATGAAAGTGTAATTTCTTAATTTATTGGAAAATGTACGCGATTAATAGCTTATTTGAAAGGTATAGTTGTTAGAGTTTGATTGCATCAGGAACGAATCAGTCTTCTACTGGCAATTGAGTAGAACCAAATCAAGGTAGCCTGTCCAACAAGTGTAAGAGCTGCAGACTTGTTTACGAGGCAATTAAACGCTAACAGCTATACGATGAGACTTCAGAGAACTGAGACTGTACAGAATTTATTTTGTCTGTTTCTTTATATTTATACAACTATACATTTGATTCTTTCTTTCTTTGCCAACTCATTAAATAAGCCATTTAAGATCACATTCAAGGCAGTGGGATCGTCATAATAAAAGAGTTTAAAGTCGTCTTTACAGTCTCATCCTTCGTGGTTAACCCTGTATGTACAATCCACTAAGATGTCAGACACTCTACAAAAACCTATGAAAACAAGCACTCGGCGCCACAGATTACACAGATTAAATTGAAAAAATCAAGATGTGTTTTCTGAAGTAGGAGGGGAAAGGGTTTGCGTACACATTTGATTATCACATTAGGATATCGCTAAGAACTAGTTTGATCAAAACAATAACAAAGTTGAAAACAACGAAAACACTGAGTGTTAGAAATGGGCCAAATCTGCAAAGCTCTCTTTTTTTAGAGTATAGATCTTTAATCTAAGACGAGTAGAACAAAATTACACCATATATTTATAAAAAATGGCAAAACTATTTATTGAAACAATAAAAGTCAATTTTAAACTAAATATAGGGTGTGAGAATTAGTTTTTGATGATTCTTATTTTCATTTACAAACATATCCCTATTTTGAAACAACTACAGGATTTTAGCTCATGTCGCGTTTTCGGAACATATCCTGGATTTGAGACCATTACCGGAATTCATATCAATGTCAATTTTCAAGTATTTACGCACTTTCGTAACAAACTGCATTCTTTTCATAATTTAAATATCATTACAGCATTGAGAAATTAAAATATTAATATCACTCAGTCTTAGAAATGGGCAAAGTGCTAGTTTTGGAACTAATATCCCCTGTGATTACAACGGTGCTTAGATTAAAAACTGAAAAACTAATTAATAACTATACATAGAAGACTAATTAATAACTCTACATAGAAGACTAATTAATAACTATACGTAGAAGACTAATTAATAACTATACATAGAAGACTAATTAATAACTATACACAGAAGACTAATTATTAATAATTATGTATCGAAGATCTGTGCCTCCAATATCCATGCCACTGAAAACTCTAGTTCATTTGAAGTACAGAACCGACTTTTAATCAACAATAACAAGCTGTAAAATGTACAGCATACATAGTTACTACATACACACAGTATACATAGTACATACTTACGGCATACATAGTACATTCATACAGTATACATAGTACAAACATACAGTATACATAGTACATACATATAGTATACATAGTACATACATACAGTATACATAGTACATATTTTTGAGTCGGTAAAGCCCAATTGAAAAGCTTAAATTAAATTAGCACACAAAAAACATGATTGAAAAAAGTATTTTTATGTTTTTAAAAGATAAATTGCAATCTATTCAAAATCGTAGAATTTTCGTGAACATTGTCATTAGTTCACCTAGGACGAGACGTTCAGTTTAATTTGCACATAATCGTTTGTCATTAGGGCTGGGCACGTTCCAACTTTTTCTAGCCGTTTCGTTAACGGTTGTAGTTCCAACCGTTAAAAAATAAGAATTTTAGTTAGCCGTTAATATAAAAGGTAAGAACGGAACGTTCACGGTTTATAAACACAGAAGACAACATTTAAACAAACATTAAAAAAGCGCAACATTTTTTAATTAAAAAAAGTTTCATGCAATTTTAATCAGAAAAAAACGAAGTTGACCGTTTTTTTAAGTTAACGTTTTTAACCGTTAATTTTTTTTCAAAAACGGCTAATCAGTTTTGTTAACAATTTAAAAATTAACGGTTTTTGCCGTTACTTTTCGAAAACCTCCGTTTTGTTAACGGAACTTTGCCCAGTCCTATTTGTCATCACACAGTTTTCCAAAAGAACTTTCTTCAGTTTGTTTCCTATAAATAACGCTTGACATGCTTCTTAACCCTGCTTAGGCTAAAATAGGGCCGAGCGACGCGCCTAGGACAGGTTTTGGGAGGCGAGCGCTGCAAGTACAGTGTAATTTTAGATTTTACTCAGGAAATAATTACTATATTATGGCAAATGTAACCTTATGACCAGTGGTACTTCAGGCAAGCGTAGTATGACGAAGAAAGCTGAGTTCAAAATAAATTCTGCATTCAAAGTTTAACTGTCCGAAATGTATTTATTTGTGTGTAAAAAAATCTGAATCTGCAAAAGTACATTAAGGAAATAAATGTAGACATAAAAACTAAGGTGCTACAAAATGCCACTGAAACATTTGATAAAAAACATCAGAAAGGTGAAAGTGGTAAAATATTTATAAAATGAACATTTTTAAACCTGAACAATATTAACAAAAATTTTAAAGGCAATTTAAATTTCTTAAAAAAAAAACAAATTCAGAATGGGAAATTTCGTACTTTGTCTTAATTAAGGAAATAATTTTGAAAAAGGTTTAATTTCATTATCCTCTAATTTAATTTACTCAAAGGCTGGTGATTTGGCGGCAAATTCATGTTGAGAAATTATTTACCAATAGTTCCACGATTGCCAGGAGAGAACAAGGAAATTATTCATTCAAATATCGGTTTCAACTCATCAGCCGGCTTTTCAAGATGATGGAAATTCTAATGGAGTGTGTACCCTCCAGCCCCCTCCCCCTTCTTTCATAAATGCTTTGCCCTTTTTAGCAAGCAGAAATGTCACAACCTTATACTGAATGATGTAAACTTAGTTTTTTTTTTCTGCAACTTGCGAAAAATAACAAAAATAAATTAAAAAATGAATTAACAAGTAAATTGAAATAAATAAGTTATAGTTGGAAGGATACATGAAGGAGATGAAGAGGATTTGTAAGGATTGACATTTAAAATGTTAAAGGAGTTATAGAAGGAGAAAATGAGGGGTTGGGTTTCTATGCGTAGATGGGTACCTATTTATGGGAAGATATATTTTACAGTTGTGAATGTCTCTTGAAATATCTGTTTTAAACGAAAATTCTGTTTTACAAGAAATAGGAGAGTGTTTGATTTCACATTTTTAGATCTGGGGAATTTTTTTATTGAAATTCTTTTCTCTAGAATGACTTTTATTGTATAAATATGATTTTTTAGTTATATTTGCACATATGCCTCCCCCCGGGGCCTCCATCTTCAACTTTTCCTAGTATAAAATAAATGGATTAAAAATTCGAAAAGTGTGTAATTAACGCTTGGCGTTACAGAAGTATATCATGATTTTATTATTATTAAACTAAGATATGTATTCTAACTATTTATCTTTTCATTACATGGAGGCAATAAATATAGGAGAGGGTGTGTTATCCCCCTTGAACCTTCACCTTAGGCCATATTTTACAAAATTGAATCCGCCCATTCCCCCAATTTCTTCCTCGTGTACGTATGCTATCAGATATTCACAAAAGCTTGAAGGAATTTAATCTAAAGCTTCAAAAAAAGTTTTAATAACATACTTTCTTATTGGACATTTTACTAGACTTTCATAAAAACTTTTAAAAAGTTTTAAATTCTAAAATCGATGGAAAAGGTTTCGCCCTTTAAAAACCTTTGTCTACTGGATGCTGCTTATTTTCGTAAAAAAAAGACATTCGATACTAATATTAATATCTGAAACTTTTAAGAAAGAAGTAAATTTAAGTGATATTGAAGATCAAAAGATCAAAATAGCCAATTGTTTATATTTTTGTTCAATTAGATATATGTACTAGAGAAAAATGACACATGTCACCAACCCAAGTTTACATAAAATTATTTATAACTGACATATAGATGTATTTGATGAGATTTCTTATCTCTCTGGGAACAAATTTAATGAAAAGTGATCGAGTAGTTGAGCTAGGAAGACTAAGTTGAACTACTTCTGTTTTGATCCGAGTTCCTTCCTGCATATTTAATTGAAAATTTCATTGAGCAATTAAAGATAATTTTTTACTGTTAATCCTAAAGTTTGAAAATTTTAAAGACATTTTTTATTTCGAGGGTCATTTTCAAACATTGAATTGCATTGCAAGCAATGCATGAATATGTCTCTATGCAAACTCTTCATGACAAAACACCTCAAATTCAGCAAGAATAAGTTATATGCAGGGAGTACTCCCTGGTTATATGTTAAGTGACAATATGGGGGGGGGGGGGGGATGAATCAGATCTGTCTATATATAAATTTAACTAGTCTGTCTGTTTTTTTGGGTGTGTTTATATCCTATAAACTCCAAAACGGCTGAACCGATCGGGCCCAAATTTTGTGACCTCAAGGAAGGTTTCTGCAAATGATCAATATTTTAAAAACTTGTGTTAAAAGTCTTTTATTTTTGTAAAATTTTGAAAATGCGCGAAAAGATATTATGAAATCCGCAAACTTTTTTTTGTTTTGTTTTATACTGTACCAAGAGAAGATGCTCAGAGATAAAGCCACAATTAAAAGTTGAAATAGAAGCATGGGCACGAAGAACCCTAAAAGCCTAGTAATAAATAATTAAGGTACAATTATTCATATTTGGAAATATTAAAACTCTATGATTAATGAACTTGAGAGTTAGAAATTTAAACCATAAGATTTAAAAACTTGACATTAAGAATTTCCATTTACTCTCTCTCTCTCTTTCTCTCTCTGATACACTCCCCTCGTAAACTGTCAGTTCTCAGTAGATCGAGCAGCTTTCAGGGCGTCAGCACATGTGTGCACTTCATTTTTGTTTTTGTTTGTTTGTATACAATATTGTACGCATTTTTAGTATTCACTACGCGTCTCACTTCATAATTACAGCGTTCAGTGATTTAAGTGTGCACTTATAAGTGACCAGTGAGATACAAGTGCCATGGTGATCCAAGTGAGCTGAAATAAGTGACGCTATAAATGGAAAAGCGAAGTGATATATCAATTACTGTAGAGGAGGTGCCGGGAGGGTGCAGTAATAACTTGTTTGTATCGGGGGATTGCAATGAGAATGTGATGAGTGGGGATGATGTTGCCACCTCCTGGAAATGCGGAAACTGTACAGGCGACCCATCAGGGAAACTCAAAATAAAATATAAATTTTTATTTCTTTTCCTTTTTACCTTTATTGCCTTTAATTGGGTGATTAACTCGGTTTCTAATTCAATACATATATCTTTTTTGGTGATCAAAAAAAGAAATTTACAGGGCGAAAGCATGTTTTAGGGGCCAAAGATGCATATCCTTTCCCTACAAAAAAAAAAAAAAAAAAAACCCAGTTTTTTTCTAGAACATTAAATATTTTGACTTAAGCAAGCAATATAAGCATTTTGTTAATTAGGGTATATTCCTAGTATACGATTTTTGGGCCCCCCCCCCCCACCCCCCCTCCTATCAATTTTGTACATGGGTGTGACAGGATGTTTCTTAACTTAACCTAACCCGTGGCCGCAGCGCTCGGCCCCCTTTTTGTTTATAAATAAACAGATTCTGACAAAATTAGTTTGAATTAGTTAGATTTTTCTTTTTTTATACATTTCACAGAAGAACTAATTATATGATTTATGGTAACACTTTTAAAGGTGTGAATAATCTAGAAAAATTAAGCTCTTTGCTCATTTATGCATTTATTTATATTTAAATATATTCGCTTAAGCTGGCTGAACAACTGAACCAAATCACCTGATTTTAGTTTAGGGAATAAATTACAGAAAAAATATTTGGAAATTTGTGAAATTCCACGGGCAACCCTTGAAACTTAAGCTAAAATCATGGTTTAATTCAAAGCCCGGGTAAACGATATATTCCTGGACAACGCTATTTAGCAATAAAGATCTAAACATCACAATTTAATCATATCTATAGCTCTAACTGAATAGTCACATTGTTAATTACTAAAAATTAATACCGGGTCTGCAGCTCTCCATGCCGTACTCAAGAATTCAAAGCGTTGCAGAGCCTTTACCTGTAGGTCCGATTCCATAGCATCTAGATATCAAAACTTATTAAACCGCTTTTAAGCTTACAAAACCGCTTTTTACTAGTTTCAAGAGTACTGCTTTACTCTGGAACTGAAATACCACAGGTTTCCCACACATGATGAGACTTAAATGACGACCTGAATTTCGTCAGTTCTGACGATTTAAAGATTGTATTTGGCTCTCCTCAGTCTTAAAAATGTCTTTTATAACAACCACAGGTTTGCTAATTTATGATTTTACAAAAAATAAAGATTGATTAAGCAACCTTTACAAATGTCGTCAAAGAAGTGATCATATTTATCTTTAAGATTTATTAAGATTTTTCTGAAGAAATCATCCAGTATCCAATTGGATTGTGAAGTTCTGCTCAATTATTGCATTTCTGTTTTTTAAAAAAAGCTAAAAGGGAAACCACCCAACCTGGGGATAAACTGCATTCTATGTTAGTGACTTAAATCAACCGAACTATAGGTACCTTGGTTTTACCGACATATCGGGATTCTGACCTGAATTAGGAGACTCTTAAGATTATTATTGGAGACCGATTTGGCCCCTAAACCAACATTAGAAAGAATATCAGATTTAAGCGGAGCCCATTTTTAAATTTCCTTAGGGCAGAGCAGGGGGGGGGGGTTGGCTGTAAAATAAATGTGCAAGTTTTGCGGCCTATTTATCAGAAAGGTCAGAAACCTTAAAGGTCAGTTTTACTTAGGTTTCTTTAGTCATCCCATTTAAAAAAAAAATCCATTTAATTTCAATTTAAAGTTTCAATAATTTATTTTCCTTACCCACTACGAATATAATCTTTTGTTAGGATTGATTTTAATCACGGGTTAGAATTTGAAATCATATTGAGTTACTTCTCAGGAGAAGGGTTTCCGAAAAAAAGTTCTCTGACTGTAGCGGAGAAACCAACCTCTTTAGGAATATAGGATGTTCGGTTAAAAGCTTAAGAACTAGTTAGTTAGACTTGATTACAGTTAATTCTCTTCTTTTATGGATATACAAGTCCACGGATTAAATAAAAGTCCACGGATTAAATAAAAGTCCACGGATTAAATAAAAGTCTACGGATTAGATAAAAGTCCACGGATTAAATAAAAGTCCACGGATTAAATAAAAGTCCACGGATTAAATAAAAGTCCACGGATTGAATAAAATTCCACGGATTAAATAAAAGTCTACGGATTAAATAAAAGTCTACGGATTAAATAAAAGTCCAGGGATTAAATAAAAGTCTTCGGATTAAATAAAAGTCTTCGGATTAAATAAAAGTCTTCGGATTAAATAAAAGTCTACGGATTTTCTAGGATTAAAACTAAATATGTTTATTTCTGATGATTCCTATATGATTTTTTAATGTAGAAAAACGCAATTGTCACTTTTGTATTAAAACCATAATCGAAAATAATCAGGTTTCAAAATTATAAATATTCATACTTGATCAGACAAAACGTTTAAGGGTACCGTCGGGAACCGGACATTCCATCTTTTTCATGGAAGATCAATTCATTTTACACTTACAGTCGATACTTCCTTTAGACCTTGTTATCCTGTATGTTTACTAGGGTTGGATAAACCTACCTATTCACCTGCTCCGTCTCCTCAGGAAACATGGAATATCTCAGGAATCCGTCCTATGCATTATCTAAACCTGTTCATTGATTGATATTTTGTTCTGTAATTGTTGTATGATTATTTGGTCGATTAAGGATAAATTAAATGATTTAATTATCTAAATTTATTTAGTTAAGTGCTAATTTGACTATCAGAGCAAGCCATTAATATAAGAACCCGTTACACTACATCATCTGAACAAGTTAGCATTTTATGTAGACGCAATTAAAGGGAATGTTTACGAATCTTCAGGTAACCTCACATTTCAAGTTTCCATAAACGATTCCCTTTCCAGACCCCAGTCTAAAAGTAGCATGATCCGTGCCGGTACAACACGTACTGTCGAGTCGACCCAGCACTGCAACAAATGTTATTGCTATGTAATTTCTTTCTAAATACATTTTGATCTCCCTAATTTTAGAATCACAACTTAGCCTATTTTACCGCTCACAGATGTTCTTGAGTGCCTATTGTTATCTCATAAATTAGGACATCAAGTGGTTTCTGAAAAATGTAAACAATCTCTTAAATATGTATTTTATTTTTAGCTTGATAGCTTTCCAGAAATTAACTCCTAAGCCAATTTTCAAACTTCATGAAATTTTGTGAAAACAAATGGCGTCAGAGTGGATTTGTAAAATATGTAAAATAGCCTTTATTCCATTCTTAGTCAAATTTCTAAGGTTTCATTCATTCAAATATTTCGCATAAAAAGATTTTTATTTTTTTTTTATTTTTTTTTGCAAAACTTATTCAATAGTTCAATTCAAATTCAGTGTTATTAATTTACGCGAACTTCTTCATCGTTACTGTTAAAAAAAACGTCATAATATGAATGACTACGGAAATATGAATGACTACGGACGAATATAAGAATGTTTTATCAAGTGTGAAATTATACTCAAGTTCATCTTGCATTCAGTCTTTTAAAGTTTCCTTTGAAACAATTTAAAAACAATTTGAGAAAGTTCTTTATTCTTAATTTCTTGTATATTTAATATCATTTGTACATAATTATTTTGTAAAATTTTAAAAATGAAACCAATAAACAAGATATGACTAATGATTGAATAAGGATGGATGAAATTATGATGTGTAATTGAAACCAATGAATAAGGAATGACTAATACTTGAATTAGGATGGATGAAATTATGCTGTATAAATGATACCAATAAACAAGAAATGACTAATGATTGAATAAGTATGGATGAAATTATGATGTATAAATGAAACCAATAAGAAATAAATGACTAATGATTGTATGAGGATGGATGAAATTATGATGTATAAATGAAACCAATGAACAAGGAATGACTAATGATTGAATAAGGATGTATGAAATTATGATGTATAATTGAAAGCAATGAATAAGGAATGACTAATACTTGAATTAGGATGGATGAAATTATGATGTATAAATGAAACCATTGAATAAGGAATGGATGAATTATTATGGACGGATGACTGTAGGACCAATGATATTGAGATCAGATATCCGTGAAGCATCTCAGTCTCCCTGGTTACAGAAGGAATTGGATACATTATAGACTTAAATCCGAACCTACCAGATCTTAATTCTTAAAAAATCTGAACTCTCTTAAATTCTCCGATAATACCAGAGCTAACCGCCCTGTTTTAGTCTGGACCTGAAACTCTATAACGAAGAAAATTTAAAAAATTAACGTTTTTCTACACAATTTTCAGATGGGTAATTTTCCAGCCGATTTCTCGCATATTGCATAATTTAGCCCAATTTTCTCTCATTCTGTTGAATATTCTTAGCTTTTACTTTTAACAAACCTTTTCTTCATTCCTCTGTAGCATTGATTTTGTTGTAATGTATCCTGATCTTGTTGTAATGTATCCTGATATTGTTGTAATGTATCATGATCTCTGTAATGTATCCTGATCTCTGTATTGTATCCTGATCTCTGTAATGTATCCTGATCTATGTAATGTATCCTGATCTCTGTAATGTATCCTGATCTTTGTAATGTATCCTGATCTCTGTAAAGTATCCTGATCTCTGTAATGTATCCTGATCTCTGTAATGTATCCTAATCTGTAAAGTATCCTGATCTTGTATTGTATCCTGATCTTGTTGTAATGTATCTTGATCTTGTTGTAATGTATCCTGATCTTGTTGTAATGTGTCCTGATATTGTTGTAATGTATCCTGATCTATGTAATGTATCATGATCTATGTAATGTATCATGATCTCTGCAATGTATCCTGATCTTTGTAATGTATCCTGATCTCTGTAATGTATCCTAATCTCTGTAAAGTATCCTGATATCTGTAATGTATCCTGTGGCCGAATTTAAAGAATTTGAGCGGCGGTTTAAATTTAAGCCGCGGTTTAAATATGGTTGGTTCCACTTAAAATTTTATCAAATGTTTCAAGATTTAAGCCGGCGCTTAATTTAAACCGAGTTTTGGCGGATTTAAACCATGGATCAAATTCATTAAATTCCATCTCGGATCTCTGTAATGTATCCTAATCTCTGTAAAGTATCCTGAAATTGTATTGTATACTGATCTTGTTGTAATGTATCCTGATCTTGTTGTATTGTATCCTGATCTTCTTATGATGTGTCTTGATATTGTTGTTATGTATCCTGATCTCTGTAATGTATTCTAAACTCTGTAATGTATCCTGAACTCTGTAATGTATTCTAAACTTTGTAATGTATCCTGATCTTTGTAATGTATCCTTTTCTCGTTGTAATGTATCCTGATCTCTGTAATGTATCCTGATCTCTATAATGCATCCTGATCTCTGAAATGTATCCTGATTTCTGTAATGTATCCTGATGTTTGTAATGTATCCTGATCTTTGCAATGTATCCTTTTCTTGTTGTAATGTATCCTGATCACTGTAATGTATCCTGATATTGTTGTAATGTATCCTGATATTGTTATAATGTATCCTGATCTCTGTAATGTATCCTGATCTTGTTGTAATGTATCCTGATATTGTTGTAATGTATCCTGAACTCTGTAATGTATTCTGATCTTTGTAATGTATCCTTTTCTTGTTGTAATGTATCCTTATCTCTGTAATGTATCCTGATCCCTATAATGCATCCTGATCTCTGTAATGTATCCTGATCTCTATAATGCATCCTGATCTCTGTAATGTATTCTGATTTCTGTAATGTATCCTGATCTTTGTAATGTATCCTGATCTTTGCAATGTATCCTTTTCTTGTTGTAATGTATCCTGATCACTGTAATGTATCCTGATCTTGTTGTAATATATCCTGATATTGTTGTAATGTATCATGATCTCTGTAATGTATCCTGATCTCTGTAATGTATCCTGGTACTAGGAGATACAGAAGGTGTTGAGCAGTGGTGGAAATTATCTCCAGATTCCAACTGCTGGAAGTACAAGGAGGAGACACTCGTGGATTTGCGGGTCCGAACTTTTTAAAACAACTCGATAGCTAATTTTTCATGATATATTTTATTCCTTTGATATAAAAATTGTTCAGAAATATTCTAACAACTTATTTGGAAAATAAAGTTTGATATATTTCCCGAATAAGATAAAATATCTAAAAATGTTCCACGAATCAAAGATGGGAGCAGGGGGGGAGGGGGCGGGTTGGTTATTTTTTAATTCTTATTCTTTGGGCATTTTTTATATTGAATCAAAATCTAAAATATTACAAAATGATTGAAAGATTATTATGGAAGAACTTTTTTTTGCATTTTTAACCATTTTTTAAACTTTCCCTCTCCAGTATTAATTTTAACATTTAATCATCGTTTAGAGTAAATGAGGTCTCGAAAAAAAATGTCAAAAGAATCTTTATTAAAAGATTATAATTAAGTTATGTTTATGACTGAGGGGGGGGGGGGAGGAGGTTGGTTATTTATCGGTTTAAACTTGTTAAGAAGCCCAGCAACGATTCAAATCAAGAGACAGGGTCAAATTATGGCTTCAAGCTTAGAAATGAAATAATTAAGCCTTTAAAAATACCTTTGTATAGATAAAAATTTAATTTTATTTATTTGTTAATTGTTTGGACGCAAAAAAAGTTTTTTTTTCAAGTTTACACTGCCAGAAAAATTGCCCCCCCCCCCTAAACTTTGAAGTTGCGCCTCAATATTTAATGCACCTATGTCATATTATTTGAATATAAAGAAAGGCGTATACAACTTAACAGACAATTGATTTCAGTCTGCTTAGAAGATAAAACAGCTTAGAGTAACAAGTTCTTCCTCTTTCTTTTTCTTTCTATTTTTCTTTCTTTCTTTCTTTCTTTCTTTTTCTTTCTTTCTTTCTTTTTCTTTCTATTTTCTTTCTTTCTTTTTTTTTCTATTTTCTTTTCACACATTCACAATCACTTTAAAAATAAATAAATAGTTAAATATATTTTCTTCAAGACGTAGAGACAAAAGGACAGTGTGTTTTTAAAACCGTTGTTACGCGAGCCATGCTGCGTGAAGAAAGTCTGTTTGTCGCCCCTGCGTATTTCTGAGTTTCTCCTGAAGATCTGTACGGAATGTATTGTGAAAAAACTAGTTTAGGAACTGTTTACAGTCCGACTGCGCAGACGCAAGATTTCTAGCGGAGTAGTAGTTATATTTATATTCAGTATATGTTTATTCGTTTTGCAAGTATTTTCCGTGTTCAGAATTCTGGGATCACCGTGGTAATTATTTTATATATATCTATGTTTATTGGTTGATTCTAGTATGATTGATGATTATGTATTCGTTTATTGGTTCCTAGCCACAGTTTTTTAATGCCTGAGTGGATTATTTGTTATATTTGTATGATTTTCACTCAAAGCTTTTTCTGTGGGTTTATTAAACTTGTTTAGATTGAAGGCTCAGAGAAATAAACGTTCGGAACCTTACTATCTTCCTTTTTATTATGAAGAGCGTTGAGAGAAGGGAGTCTTACGATCCAATCCTGAGAAATACCACACGGTACATATATTAGGTCTTTAGGGAAATCGCTAAGTAGCGAAACAACCGTCTTTGATATATTTTAGCAAAAAATTGTGATGTGTTAAATGTTAATCAGAAAAATGTATTCTTCATTTAAAGGAAGTATAATTATCCTTACACTTGGACACAAAATTTATTGGTATCGATATAACCAGATGATAAGCTGTAATACATGGATTAAAGAAATATCTTAGAATATTATTTTGTTTCTTTTGCTCATTGATGAAGCAAGTTTTGACGATAAATTAATGTATTTAAAATCGTTAAGACACGAAATATTTGTGTGCGGGTGACAATACTGCAGATCCCTAGCATTATTAACCTTGTTTATGTCTGTATACTGTATAGATACTAATATGCATTTTAGACATCATTCATCTTCCTCTTTTCACATTCAGCTTTTTTCAGTTTAAAGGGTGCGTAAACGTACTTTGAAGTGGCTTTCCATTGTAGATTTTACCCTTAAACGTTTTTTTATCAGGAGTGAATGAACTATCTGGATGTTTTTAACTTAAGAAATTTATTATTAAAAATTGCAGTTGGTTTACCGAGACTGTTAATTATTTAATAAAACTGAATTATAAAAGAAAAGAAAAAATATATTTAAAGGGAGTCCAAACGTAAATTTAAGTAACCTTCGATTTATAGAGTGGCATCTAATATTCACAGTGGCACTCTTAACAGCGTTTTATGATCAAACGTGATTGAGTTATCCACGTTTCAACTATAAAAATTGTTTATTTTGAATTGTGGTTTCAAAGCGATATGTTGATGTCTCCAGAAATAATGTAGCAAATTGAAGTTATCAATTTCAAGCTAGAAAAACGACGATATCTTCCAAATTATTTATCAGAGAAAGGTTTTAAGTTTGGATTTATTTGGAAAATAAACAAGATAAAAGGGTTTAAGGGAATCTTAAACTTAGAAGTAAACTTAGAAACATATTTAAATAGGTGTTAAAAACCCCCTTTATGAGCTTTATCTTGTCCTTTAATAACTCATTCATTGTCACGAGACTGAACTATTTATTTTGTTGTCAAAATTAAAGAAGTAGAGCTCATGCTTCAGTAGGAAACTGTCTCGCGGATTTCTGTTTTGCTTGGATGAAAAACAGGTTTTTATGGGGGGGGGGGGG